TGTGAGAGATCAATAAAGGACTTCCAATCACAAAGAGTATCTTTATACTGCACAAACTATTCGAAAGGGGTTCTCTTATTATAAAATGTTACACTTTTTCATACAGCCAAACTGCATAAAATATTGGCCAAATTAAAAACTACCATATTATTATAAGATATTTTCTCATTTGAAACACTGTGATGCCAATTAAATTAGTGTTGCATGATTCAAACCATAAAAAGGTAAAAAGATATTAAATTATTAAAAATCCTGCTGGCTTTGTGTAACTCTGGGCTATGCCTATTAGAAGAAACACTTTTAATCATTTTATAATAGTTGCACTCCCTTATGACACTTGTGTGTTTCTGCCCTAATGCAAAGCACAACCACAGAAAAGGAGGAAAAGACAAACATGGCCTTAATAGTATTTACAGTCTGTTTCCATGTCACTTTATTCCTTTCTATAATCAACTTGTTTCCCTAACTCCCTGTCTCTCCAGGAGATCCTCCACTGTAACTGAGCACACAGATCTGAGCACTATCCCACCGAGAAATGATGCAAAAACAAAAACACATGAAAAAAAAAACCTGTTGCTGTGACATTTTGTTCCCTCTCACCTCAACACAGGCCAGTCACAATGGACCGGTGTGTGGGGGATCTGTGTTCAGATCGCCATGGTGATGGCTCTCTGCCTCCCAAGTCTCCCTGGAGGGGGTTGGAGGGGGTAATGGCGCAGGTTACCGACCGTGCCTCAACCAAGATGCAGTGCAGTCAAATGAGGAGAACAGTGAAGAGATTCAAGCATCTTCCATTTGTAAAACTAACACTTTTAGCCCAATCAGAGTTAAATCCACTATCACTGCAGCCTCTTAACTCATCATACAGTAGAGCTGACACTACAGAAATCATAAGAGGGTGACATACTGCAGTCTTGTGCTTCTTAACCTTTAAAATGATAAAAATAAATAAATAAAACAAAATGGTGCAGGTTCTTGAGCAAAGGTCTGAGAACATCTGTCGCTGGGTAAATCATCCTTGCATGACAGAAAGGCACAGAGATGGCATTACACTGAGAACAACAACAGGGCACCCCCCACTCTACACCATCAGCTCCAGTTTCATTTACTCATTTGACTGTTATCCCTTTCTTGGACAATTAAGCCAACACATTTCCAAAAGGTTCCAAACAGTCAAGTCAAGATCCAAATATACCTTCAGTATAAATAAGGAGACTAGGCTGTCAACAGGTCAACATGATTGGTGGATCTGAAAAGTATTAGAATGCATCTATTATTTAGACAACTGAAATATCTGTAGAAACTTTTTCCAGGCAATATACCAAAGTGGCCATAAGACAGTTTTTCCTGAAGCAGAAACTATCTATGTGACAATGTGTCACTCCTATAGAGACTATAAAGAGCCTGTAATCTGTGCTAAGAATTATCTTAAATAGTGACCACCTTCATGGAAGGCACGGAGGTTAGCACCGACCCTTCAGAGCAAGAAGGTTCTGGGTTCTAACTTAACACAAACCTAATAAGTTGGAAAGCTAATGCATGGATGGCACACATGCTTGTCCCTAAGTTTTATAACATTTTCCGTGTGAAAAACAGCTTGATCACATGCCACTAAAACAAAAAAATCTGGTTTAACTAAAATTTATAAAGTTGCTATTAAGACAGGGTACAGCGGCATATACAGCGCATATTGTTAGGCAACGCTGGGATACATTACAGATTCCTACAAGAATCTTAATTTTGACCTTGTGTGATTCTACATTCATTCCCTACCAGCAATGCAACAGATACTTCTTTACTAATGGAGACATACTGGTAAAGCAGAGTGTGATGCTGAGGGCATGAGGGTGATCAATAAATTACACTTTCAGTACACTTTGAATTCCTTTTACCCCCCATTATTACACACAATACACTGTAAAATTGTTACAATTACAGCGGTTTTAGGTTAGTCAGACTGAGACCTTAATCATGACCATTTTGTTTAACTACGAGCGGCTTCACTTTGAAATTCATGGTTTGGTACACAGTGGCCTGGAGTAAGAGCTTGAAAATAGGACCTGCGTTTTAATTTATTGAATGAAGAATCCATTTTGAATTAAGAATCAATTGTGGATCTGAATTTGACTCGAATTTTGAGATGCTCAAAGATCCCACTCTCGAATTACTGCTACTGATAAAAGAGCACACTATATTACATTGAGCAGTTAATTGTGCTGAAGAAATCAAATGCTTTTTAGTTTTCTACAGTCTGTGGACAGGGCAGTCAAATGACCTCTCTACTATGCTACATTTTAAAAAACACAAAAGTAATACGTTCCAAATCCAACAGAGATGGTGTACAGTATTTACTCTGACAAATACACTAACAACAGTCAACAAACCTTTATAAAGTTTTACATTTAAAACAAGACTTAAAAACTGACAGTGTGCACTCAGCGTACTAATTACTGGAAGTATAAAAACACCTTCTGTGGACTAAGAGTAAGACATGTCTTACATCTGATTTGATTAACGATCAAGAGTACTGTAATATTTCCAGCACACGGTGCCACAACACTGGGCTGTAAGTTTACTACAGTGTATAAATAAATACTGCATTGAATTTCCATTAAAGCAACATGGTTGAACAACCGCTCCAAGTGGCTGGCAATTTGTTAAATGAGTTAATTGGTCACCAGTTCATCCAATTCATTTTAATGCTTGTTTCTGGACCACACCCAAAGAAGAATGGGTTAGATATGCACTGCAGCCAACAATTACCTTTAGTACAGGGCTGAATCCCTTGTAGTGAGCGGTGCCAAAGTCAAAACTGTCTTATTTAGATTTTAAATCAAGCCTCCTACTCCTCATCTGTCAATTCTTAGTTTTGCTTCTGAAGTATTACAGCCTTCGCTAGGTCTTATGGGCCAAATACGGCTGTTAAGGCTGATGCAGAACTGTTTACTCAAAAAAATGCCAGGTGGTGCCCGCACAGAGAGCTACAGGCTGGGGTAAAGGGCCTAACCTTTATACAGTGTCTAAATGTCCTCACTTTCTCCTTGAACATCTATCCTTAACTGTGCTCCTCTGGTCCCCTCCCTGTCCCGAAGTGGCCAGCTGGGAATGGTGCGCATGTGCTGACGTCCCTGCTAACCTTGGCCAGTGTAAGGATTACTGTGCATTTACACTCCATGCTCCTTCTTTCCTTAAGACTTATTAAGAATGATAATGAGCTCGGAAAGGAGCAGCATGTTCCTTTCTCAACTCTGCAAACACTCTTCCCTCTGTCTTTCTCTTTCTCACTGCTCACTTTTCTTATTCCTCTCTCCACCCTTTCTGCAGTCTGACTCTCTCCCCCAGTCTCTCTCTCTTCCTCCATTGTATTGAAAGGACCCAGGACAAATTACCAAAAAGGCCATTTTCATCTATGAACTGCAGGATTTAATCGATACTTATTTCATGCCTTCAAAATCAACCCTATATTACTGTTGTCTGTGTGATTTGTTTATTTTGCTGTGGAATATTCCTTCAGTCGAAGGGGGAAATGCACGGGATGCAATTCACCTTGAACCTCCATTATATTGGATTTCTCTACTGGCTGATCAAGCATGCAAAAAGGACATTTCCTCAGCACTAAAATAAAAACAATAATGATGATTAAAAAAACATGTGTGCTATTTGTGCTGGTATAACAGTGCATGTTGAAGGCAGTATATTTTTACAAGGCAAAACACTATGGTTGTGGTAGTATGAATTTGTATACAAAATCATTACACTAAGGGCAATTGATAAAGCTTATGTGCCGAGAAACAAAAGTAATGGCTCCTGAAGCCTGTCAAATGCCATCTGGGATTACTGACGCTTATTTGACATCAAAGACCTGAGGTCCACAGGCAAGGTCAAACAGAAAAGGAATACACATGGGTTTAATTCTACACACCCCTTGACAGATGCAGATGGGTACTTAAGAGACATGAGGCATTTCACAGATTGATAAAGCTGCAGGAAAAAAAAAGAACACTGAAGACATCACACACTGATTAATCAGTGAGATTCTCAGCTGGACGAGTGAAACAGGAGCACATGCTACAGGCAACATTTCAAGTGCCATTTTATTGAGAAAGACAGAAATCCAAACAAAAGGCCTAGAGGACATCCATAAACACTGAACTACACACACAAACCAAATTGCAATTAAAACAGCACAAATGGACAATTAGCATCTCTGCTTTCTCAGTTCAGGAGATGTACCCAGCTCTACTTTTACCTATAGTGACAATGAAGGATTATGAAAGAGGAACGGCAGAGAGAGTGAGCGAAAGACAAATGGAGACAGCAGTATGTTTGACAGATGGATATTGCAGTGTCTCATTAATGCTGAAAAGAGATGAGAACCTGTACCACCAGTGTGACAGCGAAGGCTGGCCAGCATCCAGCTAGAGATGGACCTCCGGACAGCAGACACATGCTGTCACATTCCAGACTCACACTAAGGGAGCGCACAAGATAAAGAGCTGGAAACTGCGACAACTGATCACTTTACAGCTCTCTTTGGACAGAATGTATTCAGGTGCATGCACAATACCCCTGCAATGCACTTAGATGAACTATTGTACCCTGTTGTTTCACCTGCTGTTGGTTATTATTTTTTGGTGACCTCATAAAATAAGAGACACCACTAAAGTAAACTTACCTTTAGTCTGGTTAATGCTTGCTATTCATATCACATAAAATGCATGCTGATTTCATGTCTAAACATGTGTTTTAGGCTCACCTGTTTAAGTGTCAAGTGTGTGCTTGCTTTGCATGCATGAATACAACAGTCTGCAACAATTAGGCTGCACAGCTGCTGCATTATGACGGTATTATGGAAAATGCCTGAAAAGCATACACTTCGTGCATAGTGCATCTTTTTGCATTACAAGATTATTTAATCCACAATTGATTTGTGAGTGCAAAATAAAAACACTTAAAAGGAACATCAAAACTGTAAAACTGAAATAAACTTTCATGTTTACCTTGTGTTGTACTAGACGTGGCATTTTAAATATAGAAGATGGCTTTCCATGAGTGATCTGTTTAACCAAAGACAGGAGGGAGAGGAAAAAAAAGGATAATTAATTACTTTTGTGAGCTACTGCACAGGAGAGACAATAAACCTGCCTGGTCGCCATGGATATGACATATTTGCTCTGAAAACAACACAATAATTAGCAAAGGAGAAAGATCCGGCGAGAATATGAGAACTGTGGGTTTAAAGTGCCAGTGATCTATTCCAGTTCTCATCTTCATCCCTGAGAATAATAACAAACACAATAGGAAGAACACCACACAGTGGCCCTTTACAAAAGCATGTTAAATTAAATCTCACATCATAGCGGTGTTTTGGAGAGATCACAACTAACCAAACACACAGAGTATGTACAGTGTTTTTAAAACAGATTGTTTGTTCTACAGTAAGTGGAAGTCTGAAAACCTGCCTTACAGCCACTGAGAACAAGAACTGCACGACAAAAAAAAAAAACATATTTACCATAGCAAATACAGTTTGTGTGTGTGCGCGCGTGCGTGCGCGTGCATGTGTTTGTGTGTGTGTCAGAGAGGTGCATAACCTGCCCACAGCTGAAACAACATTTTGGGCACTTGGTCATGTTTTCCAAATGGTTTATCAATGATGTGATATTTATGGTGGGATTTATTTATGCACAACAGCTGAAACTCCAAGCGATCAGTACAGACATTCTAATAAAGTCGTGCATTTAGCAGGTTATAGTTTTGGTTACTGTTTGACACTGCAGCTACAAATAACCTACTACACAGGCTAGGTAAAGACGAAATGTTTTCAAAGCCATTTACAGCAGAACTTCCGCATTTCAGTCTTTCAATATTGATTGCATTTATAGTAGTTCCTTTATTTACAGTAAATGATACCGCATGAAGGCTACTACCTGTTTGGGGTCGGGTTTCACTAAGTTGTTCTCGAAGAAAAACGGACTTTCAGCGCACTATTCATACCCAAAAGTCGCACATTTGTGCAGTTTTCTTTTGCAGTTTTGGAGAAGTGTCTACCAACAGTAGTCCAACAGCCTGAGCTGCTGAGTGGCTAATAAAATGCCTCGTATCACTCCTGTAACGGAGCTCGCTTTGACTAAGTAAAAAGTACGAAGTGAGGGGAAAAGTTGCACCTACAGTAAAAGGAGATTCACTAACAGTGTGTCTGAGTCGCTCCAGACCTGCTGCTGTCGGCGCTACCGCCGCATCGGGGCTGAGAGTCACACCGTGTTTTCCGACAGGTCCTCACATCTAGTCTCTACGCCTTGGTGTCATTTCTTAAATGTTTCAAACTACTCAATAGTGCTGGTTTTCGGTGTCACTGCTGCAGCGAGGAACACTTTGGTGTCGCTTTGAGCAGAGAGTGAAATGTTTGGAAATGAAATGAGCGTGCGACGGGTAGTTGTGAGGAAAATTAAAAAAAAAAACTTACCTGTGCTACTTCGCCGTCCTTCAGTGACTTCCTGCTAAAGGGGCGTGTGTGTTTACGGTGGACAGCGAGAGCGATATCATTATTAAAGTTGCCACTTTTTCAGTTTTCGGGCTTTATTGTAGCATTTTCTCATTTCTGGCAGGGTGGGTTGCCCGGAAAATGTGCCCTGGAGACCGGCTCCAAGTGGGAAGAGGAGTCCTTAATTGAATTTCTCGGTTAGCAAGTGTTGCTTGGAAATCCTGGCCTGGAATCTATTGGCGGACGGCTTGTCAAAACTGTTTCTTTCCTGCCTTATATTTCAGGAACGGTATTTCAGGTGTTTTCAATTATTAGAGTTAGGGAGAGTCACTATATCACTTTTAATCACCAATTAAGTTATATGTAGATATAACAAGTGGTGTAGCCCATTCAAATATATTTAAACACACTTACATATTGTCCATATATTCCACTGGTGGTAATTGTCTGGCAGGAAAAAGAAAAATACATATAGTTGCACTGGCTGGTTTTTCAGCACTATGAGACTCATTCACAGCCTTTAACTGACATGTTGTTGTAGCTAGATAATGTTAGCAAACAACTGCTTTGGTAGCTTGAGGTACTGCACCACACTAGCTGAGGTATTTGGATTTGACATCCAAATAACTCATCTTTCCGTTCATCTTCTGTATAAAGCTATATGAAGCCAGCTTACTTTGGTCTGATATGCCAACTCAAAAGAAATAAAATACGTAGCCCTCTTTTTGCCCTGTTAAATCTTATACTTTTCTCACTAGTCGCTCAGTTATTTACTGCAACGTATTGCTGCTGTTCTGACAAAAAGAAAATTTCTTCTTTATCTTGTTATAAGGAGAAAGTTTTCTCATCATAATGAGATGTTTTTGTTGTTGAAATAAGAAACTATCATAGGGGTGGGAGCTTATTTTTAGAAAATACTCAAACAATTTAAAACTTAACCAAATTTACGACTCCAAGATAAATCTACATAAACATCTATAATCTATAGTTACTTGTATGAAGTATAAGTCACTTCTAACTAAGAGATTAAGGCATTTAAGCCTGTGTGTTTTATAAATCATTTGTAGGAGATGCTGGTGAGACAGAGGCTGCTAAACCGAGGAGGTGCGCTCCAGCCAATCGTTTTGAATCCATAATCTAATCCACGTAATACACATAGGTGCACAAAATAACGCATGACTGCAGCTTATGAGCCATGATAGCATAAATAAAAACATGTGCACACATCCCAATCAATCATGTTACAAGCATTATTGATAGCAGGTAAAGTCAATCTGTGCACTGCTGTGGCTGTGGGCTCACGTTAGGGAGTAGAAATGATATTATCTCATTATTGTTGTAACAAGATACTTTTTCTCGTTATAACGAGAGCCATTTTCTCATTATGATGAGATACTTTTTTGTTATAAAGAGGAAGTTTTCTCATTAAAACAAGATACGGAGTAATTTTTTTGTTCTCATAGTGGCAGTAATGCCTTGCCATAGTTATTTCCTCTACTAGGTCCTTACCCTCTTCAGATAAGGACAGCACATGACAAGAGTCCCACCTCTCTCCTAGCTACCCTCTCTCTGAGTCATCTGGACATCCCCTAC